ACACTACACATATATGTGCTGTATTTTGGATATCTATATTTAAAATCCTTACATTAATATCAGACTTGCGATCTGAGCATCATTTCTTATCAAAGTCACTGACTTATCAAACACCCCTCGTATTTATATATTTAACTTATGTAACTTTCTAACATCTCTTTATGTGGTTGTTTAAAACTTTCTCTATATTTCCAATAGTTGTTTTTTAACAAAAAATAATGAGAAAATAAAATTTTTGTAAACTCTATAGCAGATAGCATGTTCATCTAATGGCGTTTTCGGTTTATTAACTTGACCCGACTCCTGACTCTAAAGGTGTAGAACTTTTAGAGTCAGGGGTCGGGTCGAATTAGGGCAGCTCGGTGTCCCTATCGATGTCTCGTTTGCTCTAACACCTATGTGTCGTGCTTTTCTTTCTTTCCTTTAAGAAACGTAACTGAGCCACGTACACCGACCGCCGGCATTCATTCTATTAATTATTATATCTGTTAGTTTGAATACTGGCGCCAAACTTAGTCACCTGACGCAGACGTCAGATAACCTACAGTGACGAGCATTATGAGACAGACGTGAGTAGGGAGGTTAGATTGAGATTTGCAGCTGAATGACTCGCTCGAGTAAACCTTGGTTTAAATAGTTTAATTATTGTTTATTCTGAATTTCGACAATTGTGTTGATTCAGGTTTGTAAAGAAAGATACCTAGAGTTGTTATTTGGTTATTTGGTTTGTTTATAAGTTTGTAAATATGTTTTTAATTACAGTTCTAAACTGCATCCACACGGGTTGTTATTCAATTAACCTACAAATTCACCTCCTTGGTTAATTCGTTGAATTCGTGACTTACAAATCAATACAATGGAGAAGATTAAAACAAGATTCCATTTTATAGCCGAAGCCGGAGCAAACTCTAAGAGCACAGTGGTCAAGGTGAAAACTATACAATTGGTGGATCAGGAGGAAATTTTTGCATTCCCTAAAGAACAACAAACTAGTGAAGCACATAAAGAATTGTTTGCTAGCAATGTGGTTAAGAACGTTGTGAAAAGTTTGAATGTGCGGGATAAATATAGAAATGTTGTAATATCTTTAACGGATAAACTGCAAACTATTTACTTGGATGAGAAAGGTAATGTAGTCTTTCATGATCTGTATTTAGATGAAGTGCAATCAAAACAAGAAGTTAGCGTACCAAGCACCAACACCGAAAGGTCTATGCACTCTATAGCCAAGGATATAGTTTTGGAAAAATTTGATGAGAATAACTCTAACGCTAAAACATGGATAAATCTATTTATCCAGGAGTGTAAAAGATTAGGATTGAAAGAAAATAAATATGCTGAGGCCCTACGGTTATTTTTGGAAGGATCTGCACTGACTTGGTATACGATCTATATGCAGACAAATTTATTAGCTCATGCATGGGAATTTTGAAACAATTCTTTTTTGGATACCTTTGATGAAAAGTCCTGGGATCAAGTTGAATACGCTTACAGCTTTAAATACTTGAATAGATCATTTCTAGATTTCGCTTTAAAGAAAAGAAGCCTTTTGATTGAAGTTGATCCAGACTTAACTTTAAAGTCACAAATAAATTTGATAGTGGTATCATTACCACAATTTATTAAAAATAAACTAAACAAAAAAGAGTTAGTGACCATAGAAGACTTAATGTCTAGATTAAGACTATTTGGTCAGTCAAATAAAATAGTAAAACCAAAACAAAACATGAGTGAGAAGAAAAATTGCACTCATTGTGAAAAATTAGGTTATAAAAATAGATTTTATCCAGAAAACTTATGTCGTAATAGAACAGTCAAAAATGAGAATATTAAATTAGTAAATAATTCAGAAATACAAGAT